TGTACATAGAAAAAGTCTTAGATCTTTGAGTTCAGCTCATGAAAAATGGGGGCAAAAACAAAAGTGTTGCGTTTATAATTTTGTTCAGTGTATATATATTAGATATTTTACTACTTTTTACTATATATTACACTATATTTTACTATTTCGATTTTGTCTAAAATTATATATTATATATGTATTTTATATATAACTTAAAATTACACAAGCCAAATATTTAGACAAAATAAACTACTTCAGTCTGTGTGCATTGAATTTATTTAATACACGAGTTTCACAATTTGAGTTGAATTACTGAAATAAATGAACTTTTCCACGACATTCTAATTTATTGAGATGCACCTGTATATGTTATATACAAATTTATGTTATTAAAAAATGTATAATATAGATAATATATATATATATATAAATTAGATTTAACATTTTTAAATGTTTGAATATTCATCTGCATGATTCTTAGATTCAAAGCGGAGCACAAGCAGCATATGCTGTTACACACATCTGTGCACGTTTACATTGAGAAGAACTGGCCTAATGAATCGAATTAAGTAACACAGGAGCGTTTGTGTCAGTGTGTGTCTGTAGGGAAGCTTCAGTCGATCACACGTCTCTCAGCAGGTGACACTATATTCAATCCTGACAGCTTCACCAGCAGCATTGAAAGGCTCATTTATTTAATGATAGTTTTGCCTCTTCCTGTCATCAGACAGGTTGATTGATTGAATAAATGAGAGCCGTTCTGACAAAACATCATAGTGAAAGCAGACTGATACAAACACAGGGATGCTGCGCTACACTGATGGATTGATTCAAGTGAACTTATTCCACACTCTTGTAGTCTATTATGCTATTATTTTTCTTTGCTACATTATCATCACATATGTATTTCTGATTTAACCACACTACAAGACACTCAAAAACTAAAGTCTTAATCATTCATGTATATTACAATTAGGGTTGCAAAGGGGTGGAAAATATCCGGTAAGTTTCCGCATTCCTTCCAAAAATCCCTGGAATATTCCAAAAAATCCTGGAAAGTTTCAAAAATTTCTGGAATGTTTCAGAAATTTACTGGAAATTTTCCACCTTTTTGCAACCCTAATTACAATTAAACATATATTATTTTGTACATATAAATTAATAAACATATAATTTATTAAGGCAAAGCAGTATGTTTTTTATGTTATGTCCAAAACCAATAAAATTACATTGGCCTACTATTTTGTCTTAATAATGTACATATATATTTGATTAAATATATACTATTTTGTCTAAATTAGTTTTTAATGAATATATACTATTTTGCCTCAGGGTTATTATAGTATAGTTAACTAAAACTG